CAGAATAAAAATAAAGAACAACCTAGCTTCAGTGGTGTAGCAATATTGAAGCCGTCCTCAAATTCAGTTCTAAAAATATCTTGTTTCTTTCCTATAAGCAGGCAAAGTATAAAATAGTTAAATTTTCAGACAGGCACTTAGGTAAACTGAAAAATGCATTTGCTGGACAGCAATAATTAGTATAAAATTTTGATTTTACAGTTTTCCTTCTCTTGCTGTCCTTCAGCTTTAAAGTACTTCAAAACTTACAGCAAGTTTCACTACTGCATATAATGAAGAATGAGATGAGAAGTATGACAGTAGTTCATATCTAATAAAAATACAAAATAATAAAAATGTTACAGAAAAGCAGTAGTTCTGGGAATAGAAGTATTCTTCAATATAAAACACTAATCTTTTGTCCCATCTAAATAGTTTCACCTATACTGGAGAGAGTACTTCACCAAGTTTAAATGTATGCCTCTGATAAAATTCTTCAGGAATATAAATTATTAGTTCTGAAATTACACTTGTGTCATTAGCCGATCAAAAGGTCCTGACATTATCTGTTGTAAATGTCTGATTTATCATCTCCCTGTGGCTAACTTTTAGGATACTAATATATTCACGATCTGTAAAATTAAAAATATGTCTGTACAAGTGAAATGCATTGATATGTCAGCTATTCCTATACATTTTTGTAAAACAAAGAGCTACATGCCATTAAAAAACTAACAAACATCTTAATCAGAGCTAGACTATTTTTCCTCCATAAAATAAAGAGGCATTCTATTTTAATTACTGCCAATACTGTGAGAACGTTTTAAAATTAAAGTTTTATATTGCATGGATTTCAAGATACATAGTTTGAAACTCCATAAATTAAAGAAGGCATCTGAAGAGACGCAAAGACTCCTCCTCTGAATTTTTACTATCTAGAGGGAAAAGCCTGGGCTTTCACAAAAACTGTTGATATCTGAAGAGTGATCTACATCGAAGATCTCCCTCGACATTAGCTGTAATTACTGTCCACTTAAGACTACGAATCTAGGAGGATGACCCAGGATATGTAAAGGAGCCTCAGACAGCAGAAGCTTTAAGAAGGAGAAATGTTTCTGTAAAAATATTTGCATAGATGTACATTCAAAACAGCATTTTCACCATTTCAGTTCCCTGCGTTCATGTCGCTACAGTCATCCACAGGGATAAAGATCACATAAAGGCAGCCCTGGAATTTGAAATGGCTGTTGCTTGGTAATTTAGCAAAAGGTGTATTTTCGTACTTTCTGCAGTCATTAGGAAATGATCCAGTCTGACCTTTGGCTTACAGAAATTGTACCCCCCTGAGCTAGGCAATACTGATAGACTATAGCAGAAGTACAAAAAAACAAAAAAAAAAAGTTTACTTAAAAATAGTGTGGCATGAAGAAAACAAGGCACTTCTGGCAAGGAAAACCCTCAGATTTTGTATTTCGATGTACGGTACTTCTGTCTAGAAGTATTTTGTGCTTAGAAACGTCACGTGATGCAACAGTGATTCAGGTGCCAAAACCAACAAATCACAAACTCCTACGAGATTAACTGCAACCTCTGAATGGTTCAACAAAGAATCAAACTGGTTTCTGTACACTGTCACGATTTACCAATACACTGGCATCTTTGCTCTTTTGCTGTGAGCCGATAGTAATTATTTTAGAGAAAGAAAAAGAAAGTGTGGAATTAGTAATGCAGATGCTGAAAGGCAAGTGGCAAGACTCTACAAGAAGAATGCCTCAAAAAACGCTACTTTGTTCCCATTTCTACTGGCACCTATTCCCCAAGGTAAAAGGCCAGAATGACCCAAGCCAATTTAATAGTAGTGTGCAGAATGTCAGCCGACAAACAACATAAAAACAAGTCACGTTGTGTTATCTGTGGTCACGTTCTTCAGGGTTAGTCCAGTAACTCAAGACTTTACATTCTTCCGTCTTTATTTGTTTATTTTAATTAAACATGTAATGGTTAATAAACAGACATAGTCCAGAGTTAGTAGGTTGGTATTATAACATTTATTAAAATAATGCTATGGGTTAATAGAAACAGCAAAGAACCAAAGAATTAAAATGCAAGCTATGTAAAAACCCAACTAAAACCCAAATATGTCTAATGTATTCATCCAGTAGCTAACTAAAAGCCCAAGAAAGACAACACTCCCAATATAATAAAGTACTGCAAAACAATTGGCAATTTTTCAGTTATCAAAATTGTGGGTTTTGCATTTTGTATCCTTTTTTCTCAATCAGGAAAAAAATTTCTTTTGAATGTTATATAACATACATATAAAACAAGATAGAAAAATACATTATAAACTTGTAACAATGGCTGTAAATACATTATCTTACATGTTTCTCATAGGCAATAGGTTGGTTATGGTACATACATAGCATGAAACTACTAAGATAATAAAGAATAGACAAATACATGTCATCTGTACGGTTACATACAAGCGACACTCCCATCTACCCACTCTAAAAAAATTACATAATACTGTCAGAAAGAAGTCTTAAAACTACTTATTTTAATAAAGAAAAAGTCATTAAAGAATGATAATACTGAGAACCAAGGCATTCAGAGATTTCAAAAGTCATGCTTTTTTTTTTTTAAGTTGATCCAAAATTTTGTCAACTAATTTTTCAGAAGTTTGTTCAGAGCAAACATTACTTTCACATGTCACACATCTATTTCATACACTTCCCCTCCCCCCCCCCCCCCCCCAGTAAAAGACCTTTGATAAACATCTAAAATGTCCAGGTTTTATCATAGTTGAGATGAAACTGGATCAAATACTGGTATTGTTTTAGCAAATCTCTCTTCAAATGTTCGAGTGTCGCAAGTTTATTCAACCAACCAACCAAAATAAAATCAAAATGGCACAGCATATACTGTAAGTAAAATCAACACAACTGTATGTGTAACAGGAAGACAAAGCCGGTGGCACAATAAACAAAAAGCTAGCTGAATACGGAAGGATGAATGTCTATTGCATAGTAAATAAACTGATAATTATTTCCAGGTGAGACAAGATGTTAGATGAGGTCACCATGCAGGTGCTTAAAAATGTAAGCCCTCTTAGCTTACTATTGACCTTTCATTTGGAAGCTGCGAAGATTTGCAGGAGGAGAATAAGTTGACAAGAGGGGAATAAAGTTATCACCTGATATTTGCCAAGTTTAGTACTGAGCCCCGTGTGAAGTAATACTTAATGTTTTCAGAATTAAATACTGTGCGTTCAACAGCTTCAGCTCTTGCAATTGCCCAGCTATATGAATCTCATGTGGAAAAGAGAGTATGGCTGGACTTCAAACAAGTAGCTGATGTCCCTCTCCTGCTTATCTTATGACGAAAAGCCAGCGGGCAGATCGAACAATAGTCAAAGAGGAGCTGAAAAACAAGTAACTTGTATGCTGTTTGCCACTGCAGGAGCTGCTTGCAAAAAACGGGGACCTGCTCAGACTAGAACTGAAAACTAGCTAAGCGCTTTCAATTTCATTATCCGCAGAACATCAGTTTTCTGGGTGACGCTGAAGACTACTATATTTGATGTATATTTATTCCAACCAAAATCAAGAAAACTCCTCTCCATCCCTGAACACAAATGACACACTTCCAGCTCTACAAACATTTGTCAGCTAATAGTCCCCTTTAGCATGAGACAGTCTGTATCACAGAACCCTTTGGTTTACATTGCACAAGTACGGCATTTGCTATGATTTAAAAAGTAGACTGGCTGAAATAACGGTGGGCTGGTTTGACAAAAACTTAGCAAATTATTTTACGCAATGAGATTTTGGCAAAGTCACATCACACTAGTATGGCAAAAATCAGGTAATTAATATGGTCAACTCATCATCTGTCTTTCCTCACAGCTTCTTTCACATACTGGGCGACTGAGTGGCATGCAGTAACTTGTCTGAGGGAGAAGCTGATTATACAAGACATTTGACTAAATGACCATGAAGAAAATAAGGCACTTCCTTTTCTTTAGACTTATTCCAATACTTAAAAAATAAAAAAGAAAGACTAAAAGGCTCTTTTGGTCTTTTGTTTTCTTGACAACCACCAGAAAAAATCATTTAATGAAATAAAGGGTTTCTTTGTTCTTTTTTTCTTTTTTTATAACACTTGAAAGTATAAAATGCTACATTTCCAAAAATATATTTTTTTTCTGCACCAGCACCCTTGTATAGTAAAAGTATCTACTTTTTTGTTCATTTTGTTTCAATGCACTACACTTTATCTACAATTTCATTACATGTATACAGCAAATAGGCAAGCATGGCTTTTACATCCTTAATGAATTTTTTTCTATACAGGGAGGTTTAAAAAAAATATTTGAACAGTTTGCCCAGTAATGTGACACATAATGCATGTACCTTGTTCTCATGTAATCTTCCGAGGAGATTAAAATATGGTTAAAATAATTTAAACTCAGATTTTGCTTTAATAGTGTTGCTGTTTTGTTCTCTGCATTAATGTAGTTCTGAAAAGTCATCGTAATCTGCATTTCATGGCACACTTTCCTTTAAAACGTCCAATTTGGCAGGCAATAGAAAAAAAGGCTGCAACATATGCCCTTTGAGGGCACCGGTAGTGACTAAACAGCGTATCAAATTTTGAATACTTTTTGGAATCCCTTCCCCAATGACATCCCTGACCAAAGGTTCATGCATGATGCATCATCACACAGTACATTCAGAGAGAGCTTTGACTTCTTTTTTTCCTTTTTCTTTTTTTTTTCTTTTTTTTTTTTTTGAGAAGAAAAATATTCCTAGAAGTCTCTCACAGTAACTGCCTCTGTCATCGGGTAGTTAAGGGACATCTGTCTCCATCTCGTGCGAGGCCTCCTTACCGTTCGCTTGGGGTGGGACACTAGAGGATGATCAGTGCGGAGGGATGAGTTGGACCTTATTGCTTTACTACTATTCAGTGCAGGTTCTAGAACCACTTTCACCCAAACAGGAGAACAACAAAAAGCGGAGTTGGAGGACAACAATTTCTTTGTCTGTTTTGTTAGATGGTAAGACGAACGGACAAGTGCCCCAGCTCGCTGCACTGAAGACAGGCAAGCAAAGGCGTTTACCAGTTAACTGATCAGCAGGCAGGCATGGTCAGGTCATCATTGGGTGAAGAGTTCAGAGGTCAGAAGGTCATAGGTTAGTTGCCGGTGGCGGCTGGGTGGTTAGAAACAAAAAAAAACAAAACAAAAAAAGAAAGAAAAGATAGAGAAGAGATTAGTTCCAGCTAGTGACGGCTTAATGACAACATGAAAACTAATCACAACTAATAAAAAAAACAAGCATGTTTAATTCTGACATACTGATCGACACCATCTACAGAATGCAATAAAATCATGACAGCCCTCCATCATGATTTGAACACGTGAAGGAGAAGCCCGCTCCCACAAAACCGGTTAACAGGAGAAATAGAGATAAAATACAACTAACGACTAATGGTTAGTAGCAGTCGATGAAGGAAATTGGAAAACAAAAACGATGAACAGTTTTGGAACTGGGTAGAAGATTTCTGGAACAACAGTCAGTGCACAGCATCAGTATCTGACTGCTATTAAGCATTAGTACCTCCCCAGGTGCAAGCATTGAAGCAACTATTAATGATGGATGTGATTATTAATAACTGGTTGTTAAAAGAATGGAGTCATCTACGGAATTCTGGACTTAGAGAAACAATTTGGTTCAACAAACTATGGGCCAAACAAAGGGTTTTTGTTCAATAAATTTTTTATTGCCTTTCATTTATTCTATTTACAAACAACATGGAATTTCTTGGCCTCATGATACAAAGCAATACTAAACTGTAGTCTAGCAACGTAGGCATCATTGTGGGAACCAGGAAAATGCCCAGCCTGCTACTTTAGCCAGCACTTTCCCGTTCAAAATACTATTTTACACATATAGGACACTTATAAAATGCACTTGCATGTAAACACTGTAAAAGTCCTGCCATTTTAAAGTCTATACTTAAAAAGCTCTAAGTACATCAAAAAATAGAGAAAATATCTAATTGATACTAATAAGGCATTTTAAAACTACAAACAGCTCTCTTTATTCATTTTCAAAGCTAATACTCTGCAAATACAATAAAATCTGACATTTCATATACATTCCTGCTTTATATTTTTATATTTTAAAAGAAGCCACCTGTAAATACTATTTTCTTTTGCAAAAAAGAAAAAAAAACCAAAAAAAACAACAACAAAAAAGTAAAACCCAAAAACACAAACAAATTACAGTAAAACATAAAAAAGTTCTCAAGTGGAAAGTTATCATTCCCAATGTTCTTGAGCTGTTCCTTCTTTAATCATTCTCTCACATTCTCCTTCACCAAACTTGGTCCACTTAACAGTAGTACGATTTATTTTTTTTTAAGACTCATTCAACAGCTTAATTATAGCTAATAAATTCTGAGGTTGATAAAGTTTTTGTACTGTTGCCATTTTGACTACGGCAGAGGAGATGAAAGTGAGAAAGGTATTCAGTGCAAAGTCAGATTTGTGCCATTACATAAAATGAAGTCCAGTAGGTGTAAGAGTCACAGATAGCATCGATTTAGCAATCTTTCTCATGGGCTTATTTACTTTCACATAATAAAAATGGCCTATCATTTAGGATACAGTTTATAACACTACAAAAAATTACTACTGTAACGTAAATGAGACCACATGCTCCCTGAATTTTTTCAGAATCATGCTAAGTGGGATTTGTTTAAATTAAAATGGCTGTTTCAAAAATAAGCAAAAATAAAAATAAATATTTTGTGTGGCACAATCTCACCACTTTACAGGTATACTAGAAACAGACTCTTAAAGCATTTTGATACTGATTACAATTTGGATTAAATGGTATTAAAATTATATATAAAATTATGTGACAGTTGGTTTGGATAAAACATTCAAGAAAATTCTCAGCATTAATATTTCTTGTGGAGTTTATAATCAAAGCAAGCTACCTTTTAAAAATACCAGTACACCTGTGATACATCCTCTGCCAAGTCTCTGGCCTTCTACAGTACACACAGGTTTGTCAACTGTGCAACACCATTTACAGTTTATTACAATTAAATCAGTCAGTCTCTCTGTTATATGCATCAAATTCAATTTTGTATTATTTATAAATGGGGGTTTTATTCTTAGTTAAAATGAGCTATATTTTTCAACCCTTCACCAATTCTAAATGCTTAGTTGTAAAACATTTACACATTTGGGGATTCTTGCTTTAAATGCAGTGCTTATCTCTAAAAAAACAAAAACAAACAAAAAAACCAAACCCAAAATACCTAGGCAAAGAATAAAAGCCTACTTAAAAAGTGAATGCAGTAGTACTACAAAGTCGTCTGAAAGTTGATTTAGAATTTTAAAAAAACCTTAGACCCAATGAATGTGAATATAAATTCAGTGACATTTAACTATATATAAAAAAAGTTTCCGCATTGGAAAAAAAAAGTATTTCGGTTTGCTGACATTGTTTTTCATGGCTATACCTATAGAAGTATATTGGTGACAGAACAACCAAATAGGTGACTATGGTAAATATTGATAGTATTTTAATTCTACCACATAATTTTAGCACATTGAAAGAAACTTTTATTGCTGAGCAAAGTTCTCTTCAAAACCCTTTGTGAAACTGTTAAATCTGTGCAGTGATAATCTAGGATTTCGAATTCAAAATACAATGAAGTACAGTTGTAAAATTAACTTTGTGTAAGTTTCTTAATATACACTGGGATTACTTAGGTAAGACTTTAAAATAACATTCTCCTGAAATATCAGCATGGTTGTCATGCTAAAAGAGAGAGGTATGCATGACTTATGCCACAGGAGATAAGCCATGTGTATTTATTAATCTACTTAAGACAGTAGGCATCCAATATTGCTAAAGAACACTGTATTATCAGTAAATAGCTGTATTTTAAAAGAAGGTGAAATGATACCAATAATTAATTTGAATTACTTGTAAGTGACCCAGGTGCAACACCTAGGCCCTTTGCAAAATATTTAAAATCTATGTTGAGTAAATCCTACAATGATGAACTTGGTACAAATTGGTATTTCCCCCTCCCTGTGCTTTATCAGTATATTTACTGGTTGTCTCAGGCAATATCTAATTAAACAAAAAGGTAGTCCCACCTGTCACCTGAAACTACAATTGCAGATCATGAAAGACCATTAGCAAAAAACTGATTTTTGCAACATCAGGTCAAACTTTCAAAGACAACCAAATCCTTACAACCCATTCCTCTTGACAGAGATAGGCTTTAATCTTTCTTCTAATTTCTTTTTTCTATTTCCTTTTGTTACTCTTTTTTTTTTTTTTTTTGGTAAACATGGGCTATGACCTTATTCTGATTATACCCTGTTGCCCATTGAAGAATTCTCAAGAAATGAAAACAAGCCAATGGACTGTAAATGGTGTGCCGTGATATAAAAGAAGAAGCAATCTTCTAGAAAACCTAAGTAGTGTTCGTTATCAGCTTTACACTTTCTGTAAAGGATAAGATCATACGAAAGATAAAAGTTTTACATAAATATAGCAAATATCCAGGACGGCCTTTTTTACTGTTTGGACTGAAATCTGTGTTGTTTCTTGTAGTTAATTTATGGAAGGTTGTGAGAAGTGAAGTGTAGTCAATGTTAGGAGATGTCAGATCTGTCACCTGAATTTGGCTTTTGAATATTACAATATCATGGAAGCCTGCACAACACTGATTTTGATGAGCGCAGAATAATAATACTTGGCACATAATGCTTTGCATCCTCAAAGCCCTGTACAAAACAAGAACCCCCACAACACCCCTGTGAGGTAGGGAAGTATTATTATCCTTATTTTACAGATGGGAAAACATACACAGAGAGATTAAATGACTTGCCGAAACCCACAGTGAGTCAGCAGCAGGGATGGGATAAGAATTCAGCCCACACGCTGCTTTCTAGCCAATGTCAATAAACCGAAAATATCACTTTTCTCAATAACCTTAAATACTTCATTCAGGGGTCCAAAGGCATTACACTTGAGGAACAGGAGAAAAATGAAGATTTACTTTCCGTTCAAGGGTTAAAGAGAGATGCCCAAATATTGGATGTCATCTCACAAACAGGACTTCAAAAGTTGCTTCTCCTTCAGGTTACACATTTTAGCAGCAAAAGGCAAATACCAAGAAACAGATTTTGGCAAAAAAACCAAAACACCCTCCCTTCCCCCACCCTTAGTAATTCAAACTCAAACAACTTTTGAAGTGTTATCTTCACAGCCCTTACCTTTCTGAATTCAGTCAGGTATCTGAGAACATGCATCCTCCTCATAATATACAGTACAGTGGCTCAAAAGTTTATTGGGAAAAAAGGAATCTAAATCTTCAGATTTCTCCAGACACAGACAGGAGGCATTTATTCCTTTACTTCTTTCTCATTAAGCAACCATCCATTCATTTTATTTTGCAACACCAATCTGATATTTCCACACCAATTAAAAAAACAAATTGAGGGGAGAGGGGGGGAACCACAAACAAATTAATTATTGCAGCACTGAATTCATAGTGTTTCCTGATGCAATGGATCTTTAAATAGTTTTTAGAAGGGAATCAGTTATAGCTTTTATATTAAATATATCACAAAGTTTCTATATTTAACTGAGCTGGGAAAGCCAAGTTTACAAAACGTTTTTAAAAACACAAGTATTCCCAAAGCTTTAAAATATTAACTATTCAGATTTTTGAGAAAAATAACGAATGGGTCAAAATAGGGTATTTGGTTAACCAGCTGTGGTGTTGCAAATCTCATGTACACTCAAAGCACTTCTTACAAACAAGAACTGCAGAACTAAACTAACCTCGGTCTGCGGTCACAATCCTTTGGTAAGGATGGACACGCATATCGTGCCTTCGAACTTTAGTAGCCACCGCACCTAGTTAAATTGCAATTACCAAGACAAAGTTAGAAAACATTCAAAGAAAACATTAACAGCAGGTTTATCAAAATGGATTTAAATGATCATTAACTACAAAAGTTCATTTTAAGAAAAGCAACAAGTTAAGGCACAGTAGTTTCAAATCTTAATCTTAAAAAGACGTTTATCTGTGCAGATTAATATTGCATTTATTTTAAACATCCTGGCCTTAACCTGTTTAATCCATTCATTTACAATCCCAAAATTACAGTATTTCATGAAATCTATTAGACCCAAGCACATTTAAGCTTTACTAGTCACATATTCACTGAAGTGCCTTTCTTGCAGCAGGACTATTTTAAATAATGCCATCTTTTAATACTGACAATTATTTGCTAACCTTAAGATCACTTCCAGTTCTACCACAAAAAAAGTTTTAAAGCAATTCTTCAAGCCTACAGATTGTGATTTTTAACTTTAAGTCAATAAGTATGAACTGCAATGAATTAGGTGATTAGTAAAGCAAACACTATATAGAACACTTAGCAGTCAGTATACTACTATACACTCATAAATTACAGCTAGTCTGTAATAATAGGAGCTAATCCAAATTAATAGCACTATTTTATTTTAAATCTATGTGCAAAAAAAGTGCAAGTAAGTCACTGACTGCTAGGCCAAGCTTTTTTCAAGGCTGCTGAAACTAAGCATTTGTTAAAATTCAGATCTGATGAAGGATCAGTTAAGACCGTTCTTGAATTCTTAGCCTTTCGTTGGGAAAGCCATACCTGAAGATAAAAGGAAGGGAATTAAAAGTTAGTCACCAACTAAAATTTGATCTCAACACCAATATCCCCAAAAATACTAATAGGGATGCATTTCTCTGCCATTTTTAACAGAACTATTTTAAGACATCTTAAAGGTCCACCACAGAAATGGACAAACTATACCCTACTATTAATGAGAATGAGCGTATTATGAAAAAAACTCAACAAAAAACTAATTTAATTCAATTAACTCCATACAATTGCTCAGATAATACAGCAGATGTATTAAGAGTTATTGATTCTATGCTACCTAAGTGGGAGTGTGATTTCCCCCCCTTTTCCTTTTATAAATAAGATTGTTTGGTGAGATCTGTTTTGGGCAATACACCTGTGCTCTCACAGCTAAGCCCAAAAGTATGCAATGATTTCAGATGCCATTTTAGGAGTAATTTTACACTCTTCTCTCTTTATAGAAAATTCTGTGAGAAATCAAAGTTCCCTTCATTGTATTAAGTTATTACTATGGAATCGTGTATTTCTTTACTAGCTATTAATTGAATTCAGGAGAGGGCTTTGCCACTAACCAGCGACTGATAGCTACTGTGACAATGCCTGTAACTGTGACTTTACCCCAGGATGCACCACAAGTGGACTTGCAGACTGGGGGGGCAGAGGAGCTGGGGAGAATATTTACATGTTTGTGGCAAATTAATAAATGATGACATTATCATATGTTCACTGAATTTTGGCTATGACAGACAACAACCATTAAGTTTCTCAGACAGACCTACTGCATATTTTTGCCCTACTAAAATTCTTATTATTAGTTCACTTATCCTGAAAGGCAGAAGTCTGAAATACGTTTTTCTACTGTACAAAATATAACATGGGAACATGCACAGATACAGATAACTCAACAAGTATTTGTCACTCAAGTGAAACGCTGATTTTTCTGCAATACTTTCAACAAAATAGTGACTTTGAACCTTATGTCCAGTGTTCATTAGAGATGTTTAGAAATTGTGTAAATCAATAACTGCCCCTGAACAAACTAAGATCAAAGTCCTATAAAATCAACATTATGCAGCACCAAGGTCATATGCAATTCAGAACAAACTGAAGAGGAAAGATTATTTAGATTCTGTAGAGGGTAGGGAAGGAAGAAACTATTGGAACTGCTTGTTCCATATTGACCAGTTAACTGAATTGTCACGGCTGCTTTATCATTCTCGCCTTCACACAGCCAGTCAATGGTCTGAAATATTAGGAATGATGGATATTTCAATCCAATGTATATAAAAGAATCCATCAGTAAAGTTGCTAATTGTATCATCCTTTGGTCAGAACTTAGTTCGCTTTATAGTCATCCACTGAAATTATTTTCTACTTACAAATGATTTACAGCTTTCTGACACTGAGGAGAGATTTACCAGTTTTGTACTAAATAAAGAAGTAAAAACTCCAACAAACTGAAAAAATGCCTTTGCATTCTTTCCAGTTTTGCTACTAAAAAGGTACAGCAAAATAGGAAGTTCTCTCTTCCAAAGATTACTGGAAATTAATTTACGTTAAAGAGAGCACAAACAAATCTGGTATTTATGGGAGCCCAAATGACATCTAATAGATGACAACTTCTTTTTTTTTTTTCCCTTGCCTATGTATCCACCATCTAGTGTCATAGAAACATTAAGATTTTATTTTCAGTAAACTTAATATACTAAATACACACATACACTAATGCAAAACATGTTTAAAATGTTTAAGAGTTATACCATTTGAGCAGTTTTCCCAGGCAGTTTTGATATACCTGAGATAAGATTGTTACTTCAAATTTTTTTCCTTTGAGCTCCACGACCTCTACCTTGCAAATATCATAAAAGCAGAAGCAATATATTCTCCAGTCATCCGTGTACAAAGATCTTACCTAATACACCACTAGGTTCAATAGGATACTCAAGGATTGACGTAGCTGGTGCCAGCGTGTAGGGGTATTCATATGGTGTGTAAATTAAACCAGCTTCGGGTCCAGGTGGAACTATTGCAGCGGTGGGATGAGGAGTTCCGTTTGGCATGACAGCGGTTTGTATTTGTCTGATCAAAGGCATTATGGTAGGGCCAGCTGGCGTAGGAGTACGCAGGGCAGCTGGTGGGAGAACAGGCGCAGGCCCAGTAATAATCCTTGGAGCCTGGGCTGTTGCTGCAAGAGAAAAGGCAAGGGCTGCTACAGTAAGCAAAGAAATTTAGAGGAAAGTATGGAGATAGCAGTACAAAACGTGGAAAGAATGGGAAAAAAGGGGAAAAGTAGGAAAGAAGAAAAATAAAAGGAAATCATTAGTACATGCGCTGATCACACAGTGCCAAAGCACACCATTCAAATGCAAACAGCTTTCCATTTTCCAGTGTGATTAAGTATGAACATGCAAAATAAAAAAGCCATTGTAAAACAGTGGGGTAGATTTCTCAAACAGGTTACACAGCACAAAAGCTCCATTTAGACCACATTTCTTCATTTATGCTATCAAGACTGCATGAGACTGAGATGCATGCAGGAGATACAAGGAAAATACTGTCATAATCAAATACAGAGTACAAAATTTAGTGCAACTACAGAGTCCACAGATACTCAGTTATGCAGAGCTGCCATACGAGTCTACAGTTTTATATGTCTTAAGACTGTATTTAAACATATACACAATTCCAATTTCCAGGATCAGTGAAGATGACCCAGAAACACAATGCATCTCCTCTCCTACTCTGGCATGAATACTCACTCAAAAGTGATTTCCATATCAATTTCCCTAAAATAAAATACTTTCTTTGTAGAAAAAGTTCCCTATGGCCTTGCTTAGGTTAAAGAAAATAAGTGGGGTTTTTTGTTTAGTGGGGTTTTACTTGTTTGGTTTTTATTTTTTTTAAACATTGCTAGCACATTTCATTAAGTGTTATTTGAAGCCTGTTGGCACAAAAGATGAACAGCTTCTTAAATGCTAACATATCAGCTGGTAACAGTCGATCTTAAACAGTTATAATTTATAGATTTCTATGCACTACATTGATTTAATTAACTTATAGGTGGTCAGAGAGAAATGTGGTGGATGTTTCTCAGATTTGAGACTGTTGTGGGTTTTATTTTTTAAACAAAAGTGCTCAGACTGAATGTATTATTAAAAAACCCTCAAACATTTTCATTTCCTTTCTTAAACCAGTATGGCTTCTACATCTTCAAGTTTTCAGTAAAATCAAAACACAAAGTGAAATTGTCTTATTATCAAGAAGTCAATATTAGTGTGGAAATCTCAAGTCAAAAAATGGAAAAAAAACCCCCAAACCCCAAAATTCCATCTTCCCACTTACAATGATAAAATAGACCAATGGGAATAGATCAGACAAAGAAATTGCTCAAATTAATATAAAGGTTTCTATGCAACAGTTTGCATCAATTTAAGCTAATCTGAAAGCTATTTTACTCACACATTTGTAATAATTTAGAGAATAAAATATATTTAAAACTGATCTAGCTTCAAATATTACACTGTTCATTAAGGCTGAAAGATTTACCACTACCACTGTAGTGGTAAGAGCCCTTGCTTATGTCTCTTTTCAAATCAGAATAACTACACTGATGTAAGCACTCTCAAATTGACCTAACTGCATTCCACCCTTTAAACATATTCAACATAGAAATGGTGACTGTGAGGAGAAAGAAATTTGCAAATATCAGTAGGCCATTAGTGAAAAGATTGATTTAACTGTGCTTACACTTTGACATCTGTATCACAGCTAAAGCAAAAATTTACTATGCAACAGTATCAGCAACTACATTTTCACGAGGAGAAATTAAGATTTTCAACTAGAGAAAATAATTTGTATCACGCATAATACATATAAGCTCTCATTAGTAGGTGTATGTAATTAATTTTCAAGTGTAAACCTGTGCATACATGCATTTGCAAAAGCATTCTCACACAAATGTAATGGAAGAAATTTTAAAAATGGCTCATTACATCACTGATCCCTGTGAACTCAGCTGTGAAATCAGTTGATGAATTGTTGGAAAAACATAACATTGGGGGGACACATGCAAGCAAGATGAAAGGAAGGAATATAATACAGAAAAATGTATTCACAGTATCCTCAACATCTGTAACATTTTTCAAATTAAATATCTTAAAATAATATTGAAAAGGAGTCTATTGTCCTTTATATGTATTTAGGAAAAAATGATTGCAAAATAGAAAAATTTAGCTTAAGGGTTGAATTTTTTAAAACTATGTATTTGTAAATATTTTAACACAGACATACTGTTCTAAAAAAAAAAAAAAAAAGGGGAGGAGGGGGGGTAATGACCCAAACAAAAAACCGCAAAGCTGACATAGCTTATCTCCAGAAGATCTTTTGCAACAGCTACCTACTGTTTTGTTGTTTTTCTACTGCCTTCCATTCTCCAACACAGTTGCTACTGCACATTTGCCAAAAAGTAGCTTTAGGAATCAAACCCTGCAAACGTTATTATGGCATTGACCCTCGAGTTTATGACATGCTTACGTGATTTGATGTTGGCATCTCTGTAGGTGCCATTCAGAATTGCAAGCTCCATCAGCTGCATCTTTTTAAGGCTGTCTTCTCCTTCTGCCTGTGTGTGAAAAGATGGGAAGAAAGTCAGGCTTATTAATTCACTAGTGCGCAAGATTGAACGGACCTAGAATAAAACGCCTTCAAGTTTTAACCAAGCAAAACACCTGCTTACCATTAGTCATAAAACCAATAAGCTTTCTGAACTTTTCCTTAAGATTAAGTGCAAGCTACCTGTTGTCTATCACTAAGTGATGTTGATAAATATCTTGAAAGAGTTGGCTCATACCATAAATTATAAAAATAGGGTTATGTTTTGTTTCATATAAATTAAGCAATTTTTTTCTCAGGTTTAGTAAATGTTTTCATGTACTCCTAAAGGGATCTTTTACAAGATTGCAGTATTGGGCTAGATGAAGAACAGACAACACAAATTTTAAACAACTTCCATTTATTGTAACTTGCTCCACTGTAATTGATACTGACTACTTCAGAGGAGGTCGGGATTGGGGTGGCAAACCAACAAAACTTTGACACGCTTTCCAAACAGGACACCAACAACTGCTGTAAGGCAGAATTCGTAATTCTGTCACATGTAGATGTATTCTGATTAGGATATAACTGCTATTTACACAGGAGACATCATTCTTGTTTCTGCTTCCATATAAATTACTTCCTTGAAGTTATCTAATCCATCGGTATCCTGCAGCTTGCATAACTATTATGCAGTATTCAGTAAAAAAGCTCACTTTTTCAGTTCCTAAAAAAAATTTCTAATTAGTACCATTTTCGTTTTAAGACCAGACATTTTCTGATCTATCTCTCCAGAACTACTGTTTGTTTAGTCTACATCCTATCAACCAGAAAACAAGATTATAATATAGGAAACGCAACAGAGGTGGTCAGCCTCTATTTTAATGTTAACCACCTTACTTCTTGTATTGAATGCCACTGCAGAAATTCTCAAGTCAGATGGAAAAGAGGGCAGCTTCAGTGTCAGCTGCACTGCATTCTTCCTTTGCTAAATAGGATTTCTTCTATTTTTTACTTATCTTGTCTATTCACACAATGTTTTCCACATATTTGGAACAGCGTTTTCCAAGTTAATGGAAACCTGGGTAATAACATACTGTGCTATCCACTCTGAAATCTTAAAGTCTGATGTCAGAGCGAGTTGGTCACCTGTTTTAAAATACAAGTCTTGTAGATGGTTTGAACTAGGACTTCCAAGAACATGAGTGACTACAAAAAACCAGAATTAAAAGCCACAAAGAATGGCAATCACCACCAATAACAACAACAACAACAAAACATTTATTAAATAACTTACAGCACTGCACCAGCGAAACATCATCTCAAACTAGTTAAGAGTTAACGGTATTATCTACATGCAGTGTTCCAAATGTATAGGGAAATATTTTTCAGGCTAGTTTGCAGCAAAATATTGTTGCACATACTTTACTCCCAAACTACGGAGAAGTAATTTACTGAATTACAAGACACAAAAAGTTTTAAAATTGTATTTAAGCAAATATAGTACTTAATGAGAGGTATGCTCAAGGACCACCACCCTTTGCAATGGAAATTTTAACATCTGATTTTTATCAACAACTTAAAATCAACATGGTAAGATGGGTCAACGCTAAATTACTTTCAGATGTCAGAAATGAAAGTCCTAACTGTAATACTGAGGACTTGCATAAACACACAAAGATTACACAGTAACAATTTATGTTGTTGTTAAACATTCAGAATATGCTGAAAGTTAGACTTTTTCTTTATATATTAAATAATGTTTGACAGACCAAGCTAACGCTAATATTGAAAAAGTAAATACACACTCAATTACCATTTTAACTAAAAATTAGTTGCACTGTTAAGTACTGTACTATCCAAAAGCCTCAGACTCCATAGTCATTAAAATGAGACCCTCTGGAATACAAAATGTACTCATTATAGCATGCTTAATATGACATACTCAGAATAGACTTTCAATTTACATGCAAAAGAAATGTATTTTGGTTTTAGAAACTATTATTTCATTGCATTTTTGCTGGTAAATTACCTAGACAATCACGATGCAATAAAAACAACTCCGAATCTATCTGCCTATCCAGAGCTCTCAAATTCTTGTCATTCTGGATATACCGTATCTAATTTATTTCAGCAATAAAAATTTTTAACACATTGGTTTCTCTTTTCCTCTCCACCCATAATGGTTATACTTTGTTACTGTTTTTTTGCTTGGGTTCCTCTATTTATTTATTTGAAAGCATGTAACAAAAAACCTCACAACGTCAGCTGCATCTCCCATATAGTTCCATTAATGTTACTAAAATTGCTCACTTCCTCCAACTAAGAGTTCAGGTGATTGATCTGACACCATTAATGAGCCCCAGTAAATGCTGAATCTTACATTCCACTTGCTAGGATAATTTTAGTAACTCTAATCCCAGATTTTGCACCACAGTGATTTCCCAAATGTAACTATTTATAAGATAGTTTTAAGAGAGAAAACATTTTTTTTTCTTCCTTCTGACATCCCCAAAAGAAGGAGTTATAACAACATAAAACAATAAAAGATGGATATTCCTACTTTGGGTCTTTAACATTTTCCTACAGGTCTCTATGCTTCCTATGAGAAAAGATGTTGCAATTATCTAGGTTTTACAAAGTATGTTTACAAAAATAATAATGGCCTTCAGCAGACAAAGCAGACCAAGTGCTTAACTTTTATTTTTGAGATTTACCTCCCTGGAGTACTGCTCAGCAGTTGATAAACTTTTGTTCTTTTAAACATGCTCCAAAACATAGTTTAAAACTTTTCCTTAAAGACTGTATCAGTGATAATTCACAGATATAAGATGTGAACTTGCATTATCAGACATTTACACTGTCTTTCAACTTGTGGTATTTTATTTTTCAAAGCATTTATTAGACAGAGAGAAAAAAACCCAACCCAAACAAACGAACAAAAAAACCCCAACAAAACCCCCACAAAACCAACCAACCAAACAACCCTCCCCCCCCCGAAATTAAAAACTATCTGTAATGCTGACCACAAGGGCATCATTCCGAGTCCTCCCAGAAGATGGCACTGTTTATTATACAATACTATCTCCTCAAAACATGGGTGCTTGGCACTATTTGCACCACCTTGCTACTACTGCTCAAAATTCTGCTTATCCCCTTGCACCCTAAACTTGCAACAGTCGCTTGCCACTGCTCTTCAGGGTATAAGTCACAGAAGTGGTGAGGACTCTTTCAGACATGCTGCCATGTCCATTCCACGGTATCAAGCTCTCTGCTTGAACACCATTCACCAACAGCCAAACCCTCAAATTTCCAAGAGCTGGGGATAAAGCAACGGGCACATGTTTTTGCCCACCCTATCCTCTCCCTCCGTTGCTGACAGATGATCAAATGAGATACACCGATGCAATCTATCTTAGCTCCAGGCATTTCTGCAGGCACTCTCTGTTAAAGCACAGAGAGGTTGCATCAGGGATACAAAGGCAATCTCTAAAGGGACAGTTCATTACCTGTACAATAGCTACAACAAAGCTCAGTCATTTGTACCAAAAGGAAGCTACTTTGAGCAAACATCAATAAGGTCACTTAAAGCCAGATTTGCGTTACTAAGTTGAAGATCAAGTGATTGACTCAAACCTCTCATCCTCTTAAATCTCTAGTGCTTTCCTTGTATTTCTCATGTACAATATAACATGCAGATTAAGAAAAAAACCTTAAATGGTATCTCAAAACATAATTCTTTAAATGTAAGCACTTGCAGCTGCTCACTGAATACAAATACTGAAGGGATGCAAGCAGTAAATCCTGACAAAGCCAACTGTGCACAGACAAGTGGTTACTGTTTCACGAACACATGGCCAGGACTCCTCACAGTAGCTCAGCTCTACTTGGGCTAGCAATAAAAAAACCTGAAGGAGACCAAACGCCACTGACCACTATCACTTTAGGTAACTTGTTTTCTAATCTTTATCACAACAGGATTAATAGTCACAAGGTTCAAAATGCTAGTAACAACTACGTGTGCCACCTACGTGAAGTCTCTGGGGAAACACTTACCAAAATAGATTTCAAATTAAATACACAACACTGACCATATTGATGCCCAGTTAAAACCACAATACTGCCTCCTACATTAGGCAATACTGTCTGTTTAAAAAAAAAAAGAGGAATGTAGTTATGTAATAAACTGCTATTAGTAAGAGCTTGTTTCATGTCATGAAATAGGGAGCTCAGATAAAGCACTCCATTTAATTTTTTTAATGACTTCTTTTCATTATCAATGTCCAAGCTATACTTTAACCTCAGATACCCAAACATCCTCAGAAAATTCTTTTAACTAATGCTTCTGAAATTATTATTAGGCACTTAAATGCTTCAGATTCTCATATGCATACAGTGCGCCCTTAAGAGTATCATACAGTTTAACTTCTTATTTATATACAAAGCATACACAGACTAGATAGATGTGGCGTCAAGGTGGAAGACAGGCATGCAGACTCAAAACGGCAGCACATTCACTGTGCTAAGTCCATGAAGGACTTCAGAAGATGACAACAGTCTTCAGAGGTGACAGGTAGACTGTTAGATTCTATGTACAGTCAACTCTGAGAAGCCTGTAACAAACTACAGTAGAGAAGGAAAGAAAGATACTATCTTAAAAAAAAAGAAGGATCAAGTAGCAATGTTTCTACAGAGCAGAGATCCCTAAGGTAGCATCCAGTGGAGCCTGTCAGTGCCCATCCTCCCCTGCCATACTGCTGCCATCCCAAACTGACCCACGTGGAAGGTCGACTGCAGCGGAGTTAATTCACAAACCAAACAATCCAGTCACTCGCATGATAGCAAGGATACCTTATCCAGGCAGAGCTCCTTGAGCCTCGCAGTCTTACCCAGTTAAGTCTCAGAATGTACTCTGATTCTTATTATTACCAATGCTTTCAGCATTTCTGTACAAGCATATATACTTTCCTTGTATAATGCTCATTTTCCTTTTAAAGTAACTCCTTTGAAAATATATATATTTTTTCC